CGTAGGATGTCGGAAAATTTGTTGGAGAATCGCAACTCAAGCTCTTCTGTACGCTGCACAATCTTCTCATGATCATGGGTTAAAATCATTTCGCAACCTGATTTGTGTATAATCATAAAAGGCTTGAACTATTGTTGAGCATTTGAATAGGGATCATGTCAGGAATGTGGGCTCGTCATTTTTCCTTATTGACGAAGTGTAATTCGACAATGAATGCTTGATTTCTAAATAAATTTCTCAAACTTTTTTTTACACCAGCTTGTAATGGCTCAGTAGTCCGGAAGAGCTTCACAATAATTACAATGACAGTAATAAAATAAAATCCCACTTATAGTTCAAGAGTCCACATGAAATCTTTCACAAATGATAGCAAATTTCAGTAAACAGTGTAATAGGGCTTATACGTACAAAGAACAAGGGGCGAGAAAATCTTAGGATAGGGAAGGGAGGTGTTGGAAGGAGTACACCTATTTACGCACTGCGTGTCGTAAAAACCCATGATAAGCTTTTTTGAAAGGAAATTTAATTTCTTTAATTGTTTTGAGGGGGGACAGCCTGTCACGCCATCTGTGATACACCACTGTTAGCGTCTTATATGAGATTGAACAGAATATGACTAGCACTCACTTTACCAGGAACCTCCCTGTAATGACCCGGTCAACATAATTATTCCAACTTCCAAGTAAAACCCCATTATGTTTTCAAATCATTGACATTACTATGTTTGTACTGATATCTTATGTAAACAACAGATGTAAAAACAACCACTCAAAGTTAAAATAGAACAATATTATTTGGCAGACGTTGAATCAAAACAAAACACTACAAGAGGGCAAAGTACCGCCCCTTGTACCCCGGGGTCAATCCTAGACGAGTGGCATACACTTGCCTTCCTAATTTATATTTCAGGGGGTCGGGGCAGGTAAAATAAAATGTCACTGCCCCCCATCCTCCCCTCCCCAATCCTCCCTCCCCCTCCTCCCCCCATCCTCCCCCACCCCCAAAATAAATAAATAAAAATAAATAAATAATGATAATAATGATAACTAATTAAAAAAATTATAATAAACATTGATAAATAAATAAATGTAACTATATATTTTTGTGAATCCCGCCGGCCCTATCCAGGCTTCGGTTCTATCCGCAGTGATGAAGGAAAAGAAACAAAACCAATTCTCCATTTTCCCATATGGATATGATGTAAGGAGTTTCATTGGCTCTTCAAAAGGCAATATAATTATGAGAGTGAGGAGTTGTATTGTTTTTTTTACCGGAATATAGCAATATTAAGGCCAAAATAGTTCGCCCTTTTTCGCCCCCCCGCCCCCTCCTGTGGTTAACTATAATGATTACAACTCCGCCCATGTAGGGTACCTTAAAAACCATGATGTATGCAGGGGCGGATCTAGAGGGGCACAGGGGGCACGTGCCCTCCCCCCCCCCGGCCAAAAGAAAAGAAAAATTAGTGCTCACTACCCCCCCCCCCCCCCCCCCCCCACTGAGCGAATTTGCGGCCGGCGCGATTTTCAAATTTTCGGGAGGAAAACAAAAAATGTGCTCTTACCCCTCCCCCCCCCCCCCCTCTAATTCAGCGGCTGGCTGAGTCGTTGTGCTTTTTTTAGGACCCAAACAAAAATATATATGTGCTCCCACACCCCCCTCCCCTCCCCTCCCCCTGCTTATTCAGCGGCTTGCTGAGTCGTTGCGCTTTTTTGGGGAACCCCCCCCCAAAAAAAAAAATATATATATATATATATATATGTCCTCTTACCCCCCCCCCCCCCCCGCTTATTCAGCGGCTGGCGGATTTGCTGCGATTTTTTGGGGGACCCAAAATATATATATATATAAATCTGTCGTCTTACCCCCCACCCCCCCCCCCCCAATTTTTCAGCGGCTGGCTGAGTAGTTGCGAAATTTTCGACCCGGTTTAAAAATGTTAACCCCTCCCCCCCCCCCCCCCCTTTGAAAAAATCCTGCGTAGGCTACTGACTTCACCCCAAACCATTTTGTGCCCCCCCCCCCGATAAGAAATTCCTGGATCCGCCACTGGTATGGCAAATCCTTCATTTCTTCTACCCCCCCCCCCTCCTTTCCCTTCCCCTTCCCACACACTGGAAGGTATATAATATTAATGACCAGTATACGCCAGCAGAATCACCTTGACAACCGCGTTGTAAATTGTGCCACTTCATGTGTTCTAAGATATTACAGAAGCATGCAAATGTAAATAGCAATGCCATTCTTGTACTTTGCTCAATAACACCAATATTGTTGTTGATCTGGACCCTGTTTCATAAAAGATGTTATCAATAACAAATGATAAATTTCTATCACAAATTTGCTCTCAGCCAATCAGATGCCATGATTTCAGTAGCTTATAACAGGTATTGTCACGTGTTATTGATAACAAGTTTTATGAAACAGGGCCTTGGAGTGCTTGATCTTGAAGATAGTTCTATTGTATTCATAACCCAACACAATCTCAGTTACATTACATGCAAAAGATTAAATTAGAAAACTCTGAATGAAGGATAATCATTCCAAATTGGTTGATAAATTGGATCTCGGTCAAATTTGATTTCGACTGATCATTTTATCCACGATTGTAGCTTGACATAATATCCAAGGATCCTTGGCGAAATAGGCAATATAATTCCACATTTCTTCATTTGACTTAATAAACAGTCGACCACCTGTCTACAAAGACCATATTTTTTGTTTCACTTGGAAATGGTTTTTCATTGAAACATGTACTAAAGGAACCTGTATATATTATGGGCCACCTGCCTATAAAGATCACTTTTCTTGTCTCTCGTGGGTGGTCTTTATAGACAGGTTTCACTGTATTTACATGGCACGCATATCTTCCAATCTCGAGTTGGATTTGACCAACTGCCTTGTTTTCAGTGGATGTAATTTGTGAAATTCAAGCTTGAGGTATCGATTCTGGCTATAGACCCCTTACGTTTCGACCAAGACTGCTTGTTTAAAAAAATCAAGTTGTCATATGATATATCATTTTATTGCAATGTTATTAAATGGGGCGTTGGCCAAACTTAAGCTGTCATCGTCTCATGTTTTGATAATACTAAATTGATACACGATTATTAGCCGGAAAACAAAACTCTTTACAATCACGAGACATCCGGGCGTGACATCCTCAAAGAATGTACTTTCCTTATTGGTTAAATTTTCCCACCATTTGGTGTGCAGAAAAGCACACCTATAACTTTGCGCTCCCAATAGCAATTTTCTTATCAAAGGCTACACCTAATAATATACATACTATAGTGGTGCGAAATATTTTCAAATTTCACGGGAAAAGGTACAATTTTTGCGAATTAAGGGACAGGCTCCCGAAAATGTCCCCTCAGATGACACTAAAATGTCATGAAAATCATGGCGAAATTGAGAATGAATTACAAAATTCGAAATTATTAGCCCCTCTCCCCATCTCGCAGAAATTCACCTTGCTAGTCTGTTATTGTACAAGTACCGTACGTTCTGCGTGTCCGCAAGCTCATAAGTGCTACCGGTGAATTACAATTATTTAAGTGGTGCTCAAAGGCGACCGCGAGATATGAAGTTGATAAGACGGGCCCAATATATACTTACACATTGAAACGTTGTGGTCTTTGCATTCAAAAAGTTAATATCTAATTTAAAATGAGTAATTTTGAAAGGGTTATTTGAAGAAATACCATTAAATTCTCTCTTTGAAATGTGCAAAACTATGTCGAACTTGCTTATCTTTGAATTATTACCGTATTATCTCAATAAGGAGATTAACAGCGTATTCTGTGCAGTGCATGGCTGTTTGATGCGTTACCCCCCCCCCCCCACCCCCGACACACCTAAAGATTGATTAACGCTCCCATGAACTACAATAAACATGAATTATTAAAGGATCTAGGACAATTACCCCCTAGACAATGACCCCCGGCCAATCACCAGCGGGACAACCAGCACCCCCCCCCCCCCTCCCCGAGGACAATTACCCCCGGAAAATTACCCCCTATGAAAATTTAATTTTCGGGTGGTATTTGTTCTCGAGGGTGGTTGTCCTTGGTTGTCTTTGGGGGAGGATTACCTAAGGGTAATTTTGAGAGGGGGTAATTGTCCTCAGTGGGTAATCCTCCATGGGGGGTAATTGTCCTAAGGGATTATTTTCCGGGGTAATTGTCATCAGGGGTGGTTGTCCTGATACACTAATTAAACTCGGTCGACACGTTAACTAGGGCCCGCTTTTTGTCGACGGTCAACATTATCTATTTATGAACTCATTGCCAATGCGAATACATAATGTGCTGCTTAGTTAATATACTCATTCTGAATTATTCTGAAATATACATAAGAACAGAATTACAAAACGGGACACAAAGGACAGGAAATTGACATAATAAGAAAGGACAGGACATGAAAAAACAATTCATGAAAGGACAAGACAAAACAAGACATGACATGCAGGACAAAACAAGAAAAAAAAAAACAAAGCTGCACGCTACAGAAATTAGAAGAAGAAGAGAGAGAGAGAGAGTGTGTGTGTGTGTGTGTGTGTGTGTGTGTGTGTGCGTGTGTGTGTGTGTGTGAAACAGGGGAGATATGAGAGGTCTACAATATCCTAATAGTTCTGTAGGAGACATATACTTTTGTATTAAATTCTTTTTGACCAATTTAGACCAAGTAAGAGGGGACAATGTTCCTATCCACCCCTAATACGATTCGACGCCTCTGTTGTTTTCCATACCATACCATAGGTCAGGCATGGGTCATCGGCAAATTCATGCGCAGCTGGAGCCCTTCATCTCGGCGGTATCATGCATGAACAGCGCCTCGGTTGTAATACCAGAAGGGAAATCCCCAATGATGTCATGCCTCCCCTAACCCCCCCCCCCCCCCCCCTAACTCGGGGGCCTTCCACGTGATGGATAGGTGCGCGAGCATCGCATTGAGCTTGATACATTTTCAACTCTGAAATATATTCCAGCCGCGCTGCGGCGCACGCTTTTCCCCTGTACTAGTGTGTTTACGAAGTACATTCACAGAGCTTTCATTTCGCGCGGGTGTTACACAAAACAAAATCGTACGATATATTTAGGTGCTCATCATAATATTTAGGCGCTTTAAGTTTACGAATTTCGATATATTTGATAACATATATTTGTTATCTCTTGAAAGCCCTGATTGACGTTTCTCACTGAAAACTACGGGAAGGAAATACCAACAGGAGGCGACAGTACGTGTCGCGACTACTGTATACAATCAAGGCTTCACATCGGAAACCGCTACATGTACATGCACGAAACGACTTTGGTGATGAAATTGACACATTCATGTTATAAGTTTTACAGGTGGCCGTTTCAAGATTTATCAGCGTGAATTAGAACCAATAGTGTGTAGACCAAGATCTAGACTACCTTTCAGATGGTAGCATTGGTGTGTTTGGACAGTAAACAGCTTTGATTACAAACTCTGGTTTCGTTTGGGAACTTTATTAGCAGATTGTGGATGAACTAAGTGAGAAAAATGTGGCGACACGTTTTCATCCGCGGGCTTTTTCTGTGCAGCTTTGGACTGTTAGCCCAAGCACGTAAGTACTATTAAAGTAGACCTAGGCTTTATCAACACCCTTGACTGTCATTGTGCTAGATATAAAGTGCATTGATCACTCTCGACTTTAAAGGTACTATGTCCCATTTGCAGGCCAAAAAATGAAAAAGTTAAATTCCAACTGCATTTGAAAGATAATACTAATTTAGAACTTCCCTAAAAAAAGGTGGGCCTTGAAAATGTCTTCAAGTGGGAAAATAACGACTATTAGTTGTCAAATCGACTTTAGGGCTATAGAGCCCAAAAGTAATAGTCTTGATTTTCAGACAATTGTACCGAATGGTCATACGTTTTATGCTGCGCAAAGATTCAATCAGTTTAATCTTGGCCATCACAAGAAGTGGGTTATTGATGTAGACAAATGCTCATGTACCCTTTACAACTCTTTTCATGTATGTTATTACCAAAGAAGAAAAAGGCCAGTCAGTCACTCAATAGTGTCTGACAATGAAGTCTAGCAAGTAAATGGGTTTCCTTGCATAATTTGAATATGAGGACACTGCTAACGTTTAAATTTCACAGATAAGACATACATGACATATTCATAATTCCTGCAAAGTTCTACAGCATTTGAGGTTGGCTGCAAAAGGGACATAGTACCTTTAACACTGCATTTTAATCATACCACGAAACTTGAGATAACAAATTTCCTATTTCATTTTTCCTTCTTTTAATGTTCGTTCCATTTCATTTTGATTCAAGCCTTAATATCTTGAATGCTCTTTCTCTGTTTCATCCATATTGCATCCTGCATAGAAAACTGATATATTATTTTATTATTATTTACCGTAGAAATGTAATGTTATAATGAAAATAATAATAGTGGGTTCTTGTAAAAAGCGCTTATGTCTGTCAAACTTGACACTCCTGGCACTCCACAATTACCCCGGCTTTAATTAGCATGGATGCCATGATGGCGCTCTAGCATTTTGAAGGAATTAATTCATACCTGAATTAATTAATGCCTAGGCCTACTCTCAATGTTACATTCTAATTTCCCTTTAAGACTTGTGTGTCATCATTATTCCCGTCCCTCCTTTTGTATTGACAATAATAATAATATTATTCAGTTACAATTATAGGAGGATGTTTAGATCTTGATCTATTTTTTTTCACGAACTTGTAAAAAGCGAATTGGGCTTTAAATGAATAGAATGAGTTATCAAAGTTCAGTGTTTATGCCAACTATGGTAAAATTATTGTATATTGATTAATAAAACCGCAAACCGAGGATGTGTACATAATCATTACGTACACATCCTCGGTTTGTGTACATTAATACATGATCTACATACATTAAATAAATGACGAATTTTAAAAGTTGTAATCACAATACGCATGGGCACTTCAAATTGGCTGAATCAGAAGTGTTTTAAATAGAAATCGTGTTCCCAACTCAAGCCTTGCTTTCCCAGTTTTCAGCTCCTCCTATTTACTGTACTGTCGCTGAAATCGTACTTTGTCGCCGAAATGCCACTTGTCGATCGCTACGTCAAGTGCTTTGTGAAACGCACCCCCCCCCCCCCTCGCAGATGTCTATGTTAACCACGTAGTACCGATAATGAGAAGGAAAGAAATGTGGATTTCATTCAATCAATCAATCTCAAGCGTGATGCCCCTTTCATACCATGGTTTCTACCGGGTCCGGTCCGGGTTAATTACAAGGGTAACATACCAGGGGTGTGCATGCGGGTGAGTCTGTGGTAAAACGGACCGTTTTCGTCATGTAATCTTCGTTAATTGTTGCTTGGTAGGACAAACATTATGGCTTGCCCTACCTAACAACACAGAAAATATGCAATCCGTATTCTGACTATTGGAACACAATTATTTGTAAGAGGTGAATACAATAATTTGTAACCAGGCATTAAATTTGATTACATGGCGAAAATGGCATATTTGAATATCCAGGGCATCTGATAACAGAGGAAATGACTAAGAACATGCCCAAACCATTATTAACACATTCGCATTTTTTTCCTTCAAAAAATGACGTAATACGTAAATGTAATGTTCGCATGTTCTAATGATCAATGGACAAGGCTGTTGAAATGCCTTTGATTTTTGAAAGTCTTAGCCATTGTGTTTATAAATAATAATGATGATAATGTTAATAATAATGATATTGATAATGTTAATGATCATGATTATGATAATGTTAATAATGATAATAATGATAATGATAATAATGATAATGATGTTAATGATCATAATTATGATAATAATAAAAATAATAACAATCATAGTAACAATAATGATAATGATAATGATAATAATAATGATAATGATTATGATAATAATAATAATAATAATAACAACAATAATGATAATGAAAATGATGATAATGATGATAAATACAAATAATAATGATAATAATAATGAAGACTATTTTGCAAAGCGTCAATATCCATTTCGAAATGCTCAAGGCGCATTACGCAACGAAAATGTTGAGTTTTGGGTGAATTTCTAAGCGTAATTATCTTGTTTTTTCTCTGACTGATATTCCAGTTTTAGAACCGGCTGATCAAAAAATTTACCCACGGTCGGCCGAGATCGGAAAAGTCGGTTACGTTGTCTACGAGGTGTTTCAAAGAGGAGATTCCCCTGACCACACCTGCTTTCAAAACGATTATAACTGCACAACGCCGCACGGGCAGTGTAGCGACAACCACGATAAATACCAACTCGTTACCGTCGCCGATCCGGTCGCCGAGTTAGGTGGACATAAGTGGTTCTGTGGGATAAAAATAGAGGATGTGTCGGTCAATGATGTCGGGGTCTACAAGATTTGTAAGCTGGTCGGAGGTGCACAGACAATACATGGCTGTGTGGAACACCAGAACCTGCACATTAACTTTGCTGCCTGTAAGTTGACATTATAGTTGTACCTTAAATTTCGACATCCCCCACCCCCCCCCCCCCCCGCCCTCCCCCAGTGCATTATCCATCAAATTGAGAATGATCCTAATTGTTTGGATTTTAATCAATAAACTTTGAATTGAATTGAACATAGCCCGTGTACACGCCGACACTCACGTCTGAAGCACTTCCTAACCCAAATATAAAGATAAAATGAAAACAAAACTGACAGTGACATATTTAAACTTGACGCCCCCCTCCCTGGTCGGTCTGGTAGGGGATGATTATGTCCTATGATTATGTATGGATACGCCACTAGTACCCCCTTGCCTAAAAACTGCGAGAGTTACGCTCCAACATATTTCGGTCAGTAAATGTTATGTCAACAGAATGTCTTCGAGGAAATCCCAAATGGAATACCGAACAAGATTGAATAGATTCTGAGTACTGTTTCTTTTCTTTCATTTTATCTTTTAAACAGGGACAAAGGATAGTCACGGTCGCATTTGTCAAACATCATACGATGAAACTTCTAACGAACTCGTCAATAATTGCACATCGCTTACAACGACCCCACAATTAACAACAGGTTAGTAATAATGCTTTGAACATGCAAACTCATGAATATTCATGTTGTGATTGTGACGTGTTTGTGTTTTTTGTGATGGAGCTCGGATTGAGTAAGTCGATCGTCTAATTTTGTCTTGGTTTTTATGAATCATAATGATTCTGCTATGTCTATGTAATGTAGGGGGCAAGTGTCTTTTTAAAGTATTTAAAGATACGTGACCACGATTGCAACTTCTTCTCGAAATTCAAATCAAGACATTTTTAATTTCCTTGTACATGAAAACCTGATGTTTTTTTTTCTTATCTGCATTTATAATGATTATTATTATTATTATTTTTTTTTGGGGGGGGGATTGAAATCGGACACAAAAGTGATACACAAAGAAAGGCAGAAATAATGGACGATGTATATATGGATTTCCTGAACCTTCAAAACAAGCCGAGTAACAAAATATAAACAAAGTCAAGCACAATTCAACCTTCTACCTGGCAATGGCATGCTCCCCCTTTCTCTCCCCCCCCCCATCTCTCTCTCTCTCTCCCTCTCTCCCTCTCTCTCTCTCTCTCCCTCTCTCATTCTCTTCCCCTTCCCAACCTCCCTCTCTCTCTCTCTCTCTCTCTCTCTTTCTCTTTCTCTCCATCTCTCGCTCTCTTTATCTCTCTCTCTCTGTCCCTCACTCCTACATCCCCCCCCTCTCTCTCTCTCTCTCTCTCTCTCTCTCCCTCCCCCTCTCTTTCTTACATCGGAACAAAATCTAAACCTTATTTGATTCCTCCTCCCCTTCCTCATCAAGGAATAATGCAGATACTTAAATTCTTTTAGGTGGAACTTCCCCGCGTTTTGTTTTTATGCTCTCTCTTTTTTTTTGCATCAGTGATCATAGAGCCTGTAGGTCAATTTTTGCTTTCGATTTGAAGAATTGAAAACTGTTGTGCCCAGATTTTGTCAAAATAAAATTCGTGGCGTTGACATCGACTATTTTTGCTTGCTGTGTAAATACAGCTAAATCGATTCGTCCTTCGAAGGGGAGGGGGGGGGCAGGTTTACAATTTCAACATGTGAGAACTACTGTCGTTTTCTTTTTTTCAGGGGGGTAGGAATATTTGAAATTACTCCCAAATTTGATAAACACAGAAAGACAGAAATAATGGACGATGTATATATGGATTTCCCGAACCTTCAAAACAAGCCGAGTAATACAATATAAACAAAGTCAAACACAATTCAATTCAACCTTCTACCTGACAATGGCGTGCTCCCCCTTTCTCCCACTCCCCCTCTCGCTCTCTTACATAGGAACACAAATCTGAACCTCATTTGACCCCCCCCCCCCGGAATGATACAAACATTTAGCATTCTTTTAGATAATAATAGAGATAAAAAGATCCACACACTTAAAGCCATTTCCCATATGCTACGGATTCACTTCGTTCCATCCGCCCAACATCGTGTGCATGCTGTATTAAGTCTGATCTACGGTTGTATACAATCCCTAATAGACCCTGTCAACGGCCCGCAATATTTAGTCTACAAGTCAATTAGCATTCGTCAGTAAACCTATACTCTAAACACATGCGGCTTGATATCGGCTTTGTATCAATAGTAGGGCCTAAATGTAATTAGGAGGCACTCATTTGCCCGAATGTTTCAAAATCCCGAAAACGAAATAGGATTTATAACTCTGAACATTAAATTTGTTGCGTTTAATATTCTGAAGGTTGGTTCCGAACCTTTGTAATTCCGAAAATGAAATGGCTTCGTTATTCCGAAGGTGAATGATAATTAATGAGAGAGAAAGATTGAGAGAGAGAGAGAGAGAGGGGGGGGGGGGAGATGGAGGGAGCGAAAGAAAGGAGGGGAAGAGCATAGACGTCTATGGGAAGAGCGAGGGGAAAGAGAGGGAGGACCTAGGAAGGGAAGAGTGAGAGTAAGAGAGGGAGAGGGGGTAATGACAATGGCGACATGTATGCGGGGAATCCCCGTAGATGTTTCTCATTTTCCTTGGATAACGGATGTACCGAGACACCGTGAAGGACAGGCTTCCCTGGATAACTGGTCTCATATCCGGAGAGAGAGTGATGGCATATCTTACCGGTGATTCATCAAATCAGTAGTCCATGTACTTGATGACAGGGAATCGCGTGTTTGTTACAGTAAACGATGTTTAAGGAGAAGGTTGAGGTCTGGGAAGGCGAACAATATTGTTTTATGATTCGTATCATGTTGGTCATGTTTTTTTTAGTGTGAATTTCAAATGATATCATAGAAAAAATTTCCCCTGAAAAGAATGGTCCTTTAATAAAGCCCTTCTAAAGTGTTGGGAGCCCCAACAATTTCACTTAAATTGTATCATAATGTGAAAGAGGGTGTCATTATTTTAAGCGCATTTCTGCAAGGATTTTCAAATAAAAGTCGAAAATTGAAAACAAATACAAGGTTTAGGTTTTCTGCATGCGTACAACAGAAAACCCAAGTAATATTTTAGAGGGGCTTTAAAATGCTCTCATATACGAAATGTAACAAGAAATAGCTGAAAAGTTATAAAGACCTATGGGTTCATGTCACCAAACTTTGGCATGTTCATGTTGCATGTTTGTGTAGTCCCATATACCCATTACTGTGTGGAGTGCATGTGACTTCCACAAAGACGCGGTCTTTTAAAAAAAACATTTTATTTATTTATTTGTTTTGTATATATATATATATTTTTTTTTTTTTGGGGGGGGGGTGGGGGGGGCTTTCCAATTTGTTTTACATGAGCTGTACGGTAATTGAAATACTTGATAACTCGACATTTTCATAATGATATAGATACATATCCGTATTTCCTTGTCTTGCCCTGCCCACGCTGTGCGAAAATAATATGCAATTCAACCAGGAGAGGCAGGTGCATCGACCTATTTTAGGAGAGTGGAACTTCCCCGGGTTTTGTTTTTAGGCTCTCTCTTCTTTTTGCTTCAGTGATCGTGAAAGCCTGCAGGTCGTTATTTGCTTTCGATTTGAAGAATTGAAAACTGTTTTGCCCAGATTTTGTCAGAATAACATTCATGGCGTCGACATCGACTAATTTTGCTTGCAGTCTAAATAATAGTCGAATGGATTCGTCCTTCGAAGGGAGCGGGCGGGGGCAGGGGCAGGTTAATCATTTCAACATCGCGAAAAAAAAAGGTAGGAGTTATTGGGGATATTTGCATTTTATGAGGCATGAATGTAAAGGAGGAAATAAGAATGTATAAATAAAACAGTCCGACGGATATTGACACTGTCGCATGAGAATTCCCGGTTTGCAAACATGCACGGCACGTTTTATTTTCCCTCATCCGTTCCAATGTAACCTAGCGTCGGCCTACATCTTGATCGTAGTCACAGTCCCCCCGCCCCCCCCCCCCCCCCCCCCAACCCCGTAATTGTGATTTATTTGTAAGAGGCTCATCTGGTGGTTCCATCAAAGAGATATTGCTTGGTTCCATCTTGTCTAGTTTGATATTGCATTTTCTCCTTTAATCTTATACGCTATACCAACTTAGAAGTCGATTCCATTTTTTTTAATATTGGATATGGGATGATATTAGATATTTTTAATACTTCACAATGTCATAATCGACCACGCAAGGTGTTCAAGGCGCTCCACGATTACCCCGGCTCTGCAGGGCTATCGTTTTCGGTGCTCACAGCATACAAGGAATTCCGTTTTACCGGTGCCCATGTAACATCTGCGTTGAGGATGGCAATTGTAGGTTGAAGGATTGCTGTTATTATAAATCGTGTAGTTAATGAAGCGAATATTGAAATAGGAGAATAGGATGTTATGTAGACGAACATGTATTTAGAGGAATTGTTTGCGGTTAATATTAATGACTTCATACAAGTTTTAAGACAAGATCGAATCGAAGGCATCCTATATATTATGACAATTACTTTGATAGTAATGAGGAGGCATGAATGAGACAAAGAAAACACTCCGGCGGAAAACCAATTCATGATAGCTTCTTCCGGAATAGAGAGAGGGGAGAAAAGACATTAATGGGGCGTTGCAAGACAGTTACAATCAATTGCATATCCCCAAAACCAAGCGTTAGTCTTGCGATTAATTACAAATTTGCAATTGGTCGCAACTCAACTTTCTTGCAACGCCCCATTAGTGAGAAAGAGAGAGAGAGGGGGGGGGGAATAAAAGCTAGATCTAGTTAATTTAATTTAATTGTTAAAAAATCAATCCTAACTAAATCCTAGAAAATTTAGGAGGCTAGTGGGGCGCGGCAAGAAAGTTGAGTTGCAATCGATTGCAAATATCAGTTGCAGATTTTGCAACTTGCAATCAATCGCAACTTTCTTGCAACGCCTCATTAGTGTGTTGCGCGACCCGCTGGCACATGACACGCGTATATTATTTCCAAGTTAAAAGAAATGGCGTGGCAGATGCCACGTCGATAGTTTGCACGTGATCACTGGCCAATAATATTTCAAGGAGGGGCAATGTAGGAGGGGGGGGGCAAATTTCCCCTTCTGGTTGATTTCTGAGAAATGACTGAAGCCACCTTTTGTAAAAGAGGTATATAATGTACAAAACAAAAATACGTACGACCACATGAATCCTCTGGTGTATAATTGTACATGAGATAAACAATAAATTCCATTTCTCTTATTGAATTTTAGCGAGAAAGTAACGAAAATATATGGATCGCAGTGAGTTAGCTCTCAAGATGTTCGCCCCTCTCTGCTCAGACCAACGTCTGGATGCGCCCCTGTGTACGGCCATTTTCCAACCTGTTTCGGGCCCCAGTCAATATCCCGAAGCTCATGTACTCATGTGCACATAATGTTAAAGGAGATTGATGGACGTTCTTACAATGCAATTAAAATGTAAGGTTCTCGCCTGTAAAAGGCTACCCGGCTGTGGCCCCGACTGTTAATTTGATTGAATGCATCCTTCGTACCGTTCTATCAACTGCCATCTTTTCCATCCTTCTATCCACATTCATAAGTGGTTTATTTCTTTCTTTTAATCTGTTTGTGTC